GCCCGAAAATTTGATTTTGTTGAAAATCACATTATAGGTACTCCAGAGCATGCTGAATCCGAATACATGGTCCACGATTCGATTGCGGGGTAATTAGTGCTTGTAATGTTGCTTGGAAAATTTTATTATATTTTTCAATGCAAATTACTCGCCAACTATGGTTTTACAAAGTGCGATTTTGGTGTAAATGTGTTATTCTGTAAGTACTTAATTAGCTGTCGTTTGGGGAAGCGCTATGACTACGGACGTTCGTAATACCCTTGAATTATAAAGTCTTAAGTTATGTGTTGCATAGAGACATTCTTGACCCTGAGGTGGTGGTAGGTTTATGGTTTGATTTTCTGGAAGGGAGAATGTGAACATTTTCGTGGAGTGTGAATGCTCTTGTGGCTCGCAATCTTCTACTTTATCCACAATCCTCTTCCACATTTGTTCATTAGCATGGTGTTGTTATAATGATACTGAAGATTTGAGTCCCCTTTCTTATATATATATTTTCAGTCTGTATCTTAATGTTATTTACACTTTAGGGGTGGGGGCAGACTGGGAGGAACTTGGGGTCAAAGGTCAGGATCACTGTATTGGTGTCGTCATACCGCGCTGACGTCTGAACTTTGATATTAAGTTGAATTACGGACTTTTTTTTATGAATGAATAGATTCCGAGGTCAGAGATTCTAGATTACAGTGCCAGAGTTTGTTGTTAATAATTTATTACTTGAGCCGTAATACCCAACACCAGTAATGTCAAAAAGCGTATAATGTTTAGATATTGTCAGGCATATATCCAATCCCGGTAAATTCTTTGATGTTTATGACGTAATTAAAACTGATCTAGAAAGAAAAGAAAAGATTGTGGATTTATGTTGTTTTTAGGATTATTCAAGACATGGTATAGAAGAAATAAGAGGGTAGAGTACTTCATTTAGGATTATTCAAAGGACTAACTCCCTCCCCATTCTCGCACCTCTAGTCCCATCGCTTAATATTTTCTTGAATCACGTGGGAGAAAAATGTACTTTGGAAATACGTTAAGCAAACCCATCACGGTGCTTTTTGAGTGTTTATGCCCGACTCCGAATAACATTTTATGAATTGTAGGAAAAAAGTTAAAAGATCCAAAGCAGGCGAGTACAGGGTAATTTTGCCGCCACTTTATGTCTAATTCATGGTTAGATTATTGTCAAGCACGAAAGGGTAAAATGTGTCCATTGTTGGTGATCTTCAGGCGTTTATCTTGAGAGTTTTCTCTTCAAGTGGTGCCGTATTTCAGCTCTTGGGAGTACTATTTCCGAGTAACAAATTATCCTCTTATTTTAAAGTGGTTAAGTGGAGTAAAGGGCGCCCTCCTCTCGACCCACTGTGTGACCCTCATAACCGGAAGAAACTCTTTGTGCTGAAGACGTTATAAACAAATCAGAACTACCCAAACTTACCGAACTTAAACATTTACATGGTTTTCAACAGTTACAAACGTATCCCAACTTAACATTATCTACCTAAACATAACTTGAACATAAATTACACCTATTCCCAGATTAAAATATAAACTTAGATTAACCTGTATCCAACCCCTAAACATACCTAAACATAAGTTGTATTATGAGAACAAATCTTTACAGAGCACAGTTTTTGTGGAACACGTAATAACTATAAAATATGGCGTAATAAATTTTTTGGCGACGGTCAAGGTTAATCTTAAACCTGCCCGTCATGAGAGTTTTTTCTCATAATTTTTAATTGTTGATGTAATAGTGTAATTACCAACCTTGTTACGTGCTTAACGACTTTAGTTATTGAAGCGCAGTGATAACATTATAACAACAACTACACGAAAGAAACTGCCGAGGAGCCACAGCTAGCGGCAACAAGAGTGTCCATTGTGTTTATTGCGGGGATTATGTCCAATTGTAGCCAATCTGATAGTGCTTATACAGTATATACAATCCTTGGTATGAAGTTCGCCAGTTGGAAATGGTTTGGTGGGATTTTTTTCTTGACTTGTGTTCATCTGACACTTGCAAGAACTTCCGTGATGTACACAGTGCTGTGGTAGCCTCATGGTCGGTTTACAAGAAACACTCTGGGCTAAAATAAAATAAGAAATGTACGATTTGTTATTGGAACGTGGGAGATTTCTGTGTTATCACACTTTTCCCAGCCAGACTTGCTTTGTATTCAAGTATGTATGAATGTGTGTGTGATAGACTCTTACATAACTCATTTGGAAGAGTATTATAAAAGGGAAATGGAAGGAAATCTTGTTGGGAAAAGATTGATACAGTAGTTGAATTGTAAGACAGTGGAGGGACGGTTGAGACAAGAAGGCGGAGAGAGGAAGGAGAGGAGGATGACTGGCCGGTGGGAGGGAGAGAGGAGAGGAGGCCACATCCGGTTACGCAGGTTGAAAGAGAGAGCGAGGTAATACCGCCCGCACACACTCTCTCTCACCCGGCCCACGCACACCCACACATACTGCTTCTGCTAAAATACTGTTGGTGAATCTGTTAGTAATGTATTGTATTACAACCTAACAAACTCCAATCTAACAATGTTGGTTCATCCAGCAGGTTCCAGCCTTTCACACCCAAACCAACGTATACATTTTTTGATATATCATAGTATTTTGAGATATTTAAGTCTTATTTATAACCCCCTAATTCCCATATAAAGCAATGTGCATACTACCCCTATGTGAGTGAGCGGTTTTTTTATGTGTTCATTCGCCGTCATTCACAGTACTTCTCTTAATAACTTCATGCTGTCGAAAAATAATCTTCGATAATTATCGTCTATACTTGTCCTGTGCTAAATGTGAATAAAACTTTTTATTTGTGTGATTGTTGAAAGAGATTGGACTTTTGTGATTTTTTGTAGACATTTGTTCTGTTCTCTTGTCTTAAAGGCCTGTCGGCTAAAACAAAAACTTTATATAAACGTTTCTGTCCATTTCGCCTCACTCAGGTAATTCAACATTTCGGATATGGTAATATATTTTTTATGTATATTTCAGTAACAAGAGCTGCCACATTGATACAGTACTAGGTTATGAGGTCCAGTTACAGTATTTGTGTGAAGTTGACATGTGGTCTCCATATTCACCACCTCCAGGATCATCATCCATATGGAGTGTGGTTTCTGCCCACACAGTACCTGTCCCTCCGCACCCTAGTATGATTCACCTGCAACAGCCACATCATCCACACCCGTACTCACACCTGCTGCTCTTTCACTGACAAATACTGCCAGGTATACATTACTGGCACAGGTGCTAATGTTTCACACCTGGATGGACCAGTGTAGGGTTGTGTGGTAGTCCAACCTTGTCATATGAATACTGTATTATATTTTAATACCGTTGCTGGTTAATATTCCAATTTTAACGGAGTAGTCATGGAGAACATTGTTACCACGACACAAAAACTACTGCATTACAATGTTATGACAAGAATAGAGGAGTGAGGCAGAATAATTTTATTGGGGGTAAAGGAGAGAGACAAAATGATTAATGACGGTAAAGAGAAGGGGGAGGCTAAACGAACAATGATGGTAAGGGGAGACAACTTTTGATGATTGTAGATGGAGGAAGGGAGGCAAAGTAATTACTGTATATATGGTGGGGGAGGGAGTCAGAGTAATTATATATGGTGGATGAGGGAGGCAAAGTAATTACTGTATATATGGTGGGGGAGGGAGTCAGAGTAATTATATATGGTGGATGAGGAAGGCAGAGTAATTACTGTATATATGGTGGAAGGTAAAGTAATTACTGTATTGTACTGTAATAATAAAGGCCCAAGTTAAACAATGATTTCAGTGGTTGAGGAAGGACACATGGGAGGTTAGGTCTAATGCACAGTGCATCTTTTGCCAACTAGTAAATGCACAACTTTTAATTGGTATCAACAACCTTAATGGGTTAATGGTTTCCTACCATTAATTTTGAACTTTGACCTTGTGTAATGGATTTAAAGGGCTCAAGGACCATTTTTTTTTTCAATTTGTTACGTTTGACCCTTGATATTTCAGCAAAATATTACGTATACGGGGGTTTTATTATGGACAAAATTTAAAGGTCATATACCAGTCTTTTCTCTTTTCTAGACAATACCTTACCGTTGCTTCGCCTGGTATTGCTTCATACGTAAGAGCATATTTTCCTTAGGTATTGTATAGTATGTACAGTGATCTTTCTTGTTACAGGGTGATGTCTGCCTTTAGAAAAGGTCTGGTCAAAGTCATAAAGGTGAAACAAAAATCAGCCATATTTTGTTACTGGTCATCCTACCATTAGATTGAGTACCTAGCCAAGATTTATGAAGACTTTTTATACTGTATGTCCCAGATCATTTCTTCCCTGGTGTGTATTGTGACACACCGGAGGAATGATTGACAGGAGCTATACTATATATACTGTATTGTGATTCTAGGTTGTGTTATATTTGAGAAACACTTGAATATGCTGTAGTTTTATGCTGTTGATGTTTATTGTATTGTTAGAATTTGTATACGTGGTTAACGACCTGGTGGTGGGTGTTGATGGCTGTTTCACTAGAGAACCCATTTATGAGATGTGTTTATGGCTGGAAGAGTACTGTGCTGTAGGTGTAGCAACAGTACTTCTTCCTACAGTACTGTATTATCTAACAAGACAACAGAGACTTCTTCATGAGCACACACACTCAGTCACAAGTCATTCGCACCATTCTTCATCATAAAACGGATTTCTTGCATTCAATCTCCCCCCCCCCTCTTTTTATAAGAATTTGAGTTACAATACAGTGTTTACTTTTATTTCATCAAAAGTCTATTGTATTCTCCTTGCCTTTTTTGTTTTGAGTAGAGTTTGTTTGCTTGTGTTACTTTAGACATGGTAAGACATGAGCGCAACTATTGGATGTCGCTGTTCAGTGAAAAAAAAATTATGATATTGTTTGTTTAAGTGTTACTGTCAGAATGTATAAACCTGTACCTGTAGTTAATTGGTGTCTTGTGTTGCAGGTGAGAGCAATCCTGAGCAGTGTGTGGATCAGCGAAGGAGTAATGGTGAATCACAAGGGGAACTATGCTGGACCATCGATGTTCCTACAGTCTTGCCCAGAAGTAAGTGGATCATAATCTGTTTTCTGCCTGTTTGTTCCTCGATCAATAATGTGTTTAACTACTATGATATTACTCATTCATAACTTTATGTAATTTATATTATTCATTATTGCAGATGTAGGCAGTGTGGTAATCCGTTACCATAGTGGGGAGGAGAGTGGTAATGTGTGTCTGGGATCATCTGCGGTGCTACGTGTTGTAAGATTGAGTGATGGGTCTGCCTCTGACTCCTCAGAAGACGAGACTCTTCATCCATCCTTGACTTTACAACGCTGTCTTTCCTGCACAAGACTCATCCGTTTCACACTTTCAAGTGAGTCACCAGTAGTTTGCCTTGCATAAGGAGGCCCTTTATCCAAATAATGTCTTTTCCAATATACTGTACTGTAGTATACTCTTTAGCTGGGTGGCTCTCATAATTCAAGCTATTTTTTAGGGAAGCCTGTATCATATCCTATAGTGTGAAATATATTCCCTAATTGGTTAATAATTCTATAACAAATTTATGTACACGAGTCTTTGTTCCTACTTAACTGTAAAATGGGATTTTCAGGATAATTTTATTATTTTTTAGCAAAGTCCTGTGAGGGTCAAGAAGTACCAGTATGTGTGCCGTGATACCTTTCACTTTCTGGACCCTAAATATACAAATTATTTCCAGCCTGCAATGTTGGGGCCTCTGGGAACCCCGTGTTTTCAGCATGTAGGCTTATTTGGCAATACTGAAATGACTGATTCAGGTTCTGCTCTAAAAGGGGATTTCAGGATCAAATCACTCTTCTCTACTAATAAATTGAGATATAAAAGCTCTGACCCTGAAGGAAATATACCTGTACTTGGAACTTACCCTTTCTAACACCAGGGTGATGTATGGTACAGTATTACTGGTATCTCTTAGTACAACTCAGATATTTTTATTGAACTGGGTATCCTCTAGGTATTTTATGTGCCTCATATTATGAAGTGATTCCAAGTGATTCCTCTCTCAGATATTTCTGCTCATGGACTTCGGAGAGGCATATTCTTCCAACCTGACCCGTATGTGAAGCTGCGCATTCTGCCTGGAGAATCTCAGACCCTTTTACCTCATCATGGACAGGAATCACGCTCGTCTGTGGTGGAAAACACTGTAAACCCTTCGTGGAAGAGACAGGTTTGTCAATCATGAAGCTTCTATGAACTGAGTTGAACATTAAAAAATAAAATGATATACTTGCTGCACTTGTCAGGCTGATGACTTCTGGTGTTTCATATGAAGTTTAGTTTACTAATGTAAAAAAATACCAGATTGCTTTTTTTTGTGAATTTATTAAAATAAAGCAAATCCAGTACTCCTGTACTGTACAGTACTGTGAAATTATTGGTTTTTCATACACTTGACTAGTGACTGTTTTCTCATCATTGCCTTTATTCTGGGTGCACATGATTATTGTTCAAATTTTTTTTTTTTTTTTTTTTTTGTAGACAAACATTTTGGACAACTAAAGTAAACTGTATATTCTTCAATCTCAGAATTTTGTAATACTTTGGGCCAAATCAATTATAACAATGATTTTGTGGAATCCTGATTGCAGGCCTTCATGCTCTACCACCCACTGTGATTTTTTTTTTTTTTTTTTTTTTTTTTTTTTTTTAGGAATAGCCCACCCGGGCACAGGTCACTGACCTGTTGTATTAGCATTTGAAGCTAATGGTTTTCTCCTTCCCATATTTAGCTGATTTCAGGTACATGATTCTTGAGTTAAGTTGTAAATTTAAGTGAAGGATAGCTACTGAAATCCTATTTTATTACCAAGCCTAGACCAAATGACTTGAACACTTCCTTGCCCTAATAATGTATATATAACACTGAGATCAGCTGGAATTGACGATTAACCTTCTGCAATGGAGGTTTGTAACTAGCACCAAGTAAGGGCCTTGAAGAGCACATGCGGAATTAGCAGCATGACTTAATTGCCTTAAACCTCAAGCAAAAAATTCAATTCCAATCTTTCATTTTTTTTTTAGGGATTTATTCCCATGAGAGATAAGTAACATTACTGTAAATGTTATATTTTACAATCATAATAGGTACTGTACTCACTGCATTATGTTCATGTGTTCTTTGTAGTTCTTTTTCAGTACAAATGGTGTGTCTTTTGCAGGAGTTCACCTTTGTTGCATACTTACATGATGTATTGGAAGTTGAGCTGAAGGACAAATTTGCCAAAAGTCGCCCAATCATTAGTCGCTTTCTTGGTCGGCTCACCATCCAAGTAGCGACACTCAAGGAACGAATTAAAAGGTAAAGTGTTTTTAAATGTAGAAGAGTTAAAAGGATTAGGGACCAATTATAAGATTAAATTGTTTTTAAACCTTTTCATGGCAAATTCAACTCGTCAAAAGAAGTTTTATTAACATTAACTGTTACATGTAACATTACTCCACAGCAGCCAAAATGTTTGCCTTACATCCCTATTTGTTGCAGCTTTAATAAACATGAGTATAAACTGACACTCACCAGACAAGTTAAATTCCACCTACACAGCTGGTAAATGTTTTTTGTATCATATTACATAATATAAAGAAATTATCATGAACAGATTGGTGACTTGCACTTTTCCTAGTACAGTACAGTAAATTAATGTTCATCCATTTAATTTTGTTTCTTGGCCTCTATAACTTTTTTTACTTTTACATCATTCTACATCAACTTTAACTTACCATTGTGTAAAATTTTTGAACAAATATTTTTTGTTTTACAGTGTATGTTCCATTTCAAGTTGGAAAAGTAATAACAAAAATATCAAATAGGCACTTCTTCTTGAATAATGGATAACTACGGTGAAAGGATTAGATTTTGAAGAGTTCGACATAAAGAATGTTAGTTATTAAGAATTGAGAGCATTCCCTGAAGGGTTGTTCTATCACCTGATGCTAGTCTATATTGACTCATGAATGATACCCACCAAATCTTATGGGCCGCTTTCCATCCTGGCCCAAAAATTTACGGGATTCCATGTTACATGTAATATCTGGTTCAAGGGATTTTGATGAGGTGTCAACTTTTTCTAGTGTTGAAAGGAATTTGTTGGTTGAGTAGTAGGCTGTTGTCCCCTCTTTATATTTTGTGTGTACAGTACAGTATATGAAACAACCTAGCTACACAATAATCTTTAATTCTGAATGATAAAAACAGAAAGTAAACAGTTGCCACAAAGCTATAATAAATTTTTATGCTTAAACCAATCACTTGCATATACTTTCTACATGTGCCATCAGAGGAACCACTTTATTTACATTATTTCCAGACTTAGCTTAGTTTTGTGAGTTAGATCTTGGTACTCATCTCTGCATATTCTTCAGGATTTATGAAAGAAAAATGAACTTTCTTTTTATCCATAAACCATCAATTACAGAGTACAATACATTTTCCTAGATTGACCTAATGCTATACATATCAATCTCTGTAGACATGCAGACTCTGCCAGGTAGTGTTTAGTGGCAATAGATCACACAAGTAACTTGTTTTTCTCCCTTTGGGCCATTAAGTAATTTTTTTATTTAAATGCTTCATTTTCAGGAATGTGCTGTCTCACTTAGTTGAAAAATTATACGATTTAAATCACCTCATTCATAGCTTTTGTTTTATTCTAATTTTCTTTTTTCTCTTTCAGTGGATTAACAGGAGTTATAGACTTCCCTTTAAGTAGCAAGAGTACAGCAGATTCTGTGTCTGGCCATGTTTACTTCACTGTAACCTTCATCCCTCCGTCAAACACTGCAGGAAATTGCACAGGCCATGGTGGATTGGAGTGCCCAGGGGAGCAGGATACAATGCAGCTCAAGAGTAATGCACTTATCAACACTCACGGGGATCAAGAGTTAATCACTAATGGCCATATGGGATATAGGAAAAATATCATGCGGTCAAATAATAATGCCTCTGTGAACAATGGAATACGGACAAGTTTGGGGGATGAAGAAGTGGTTGTTAATGGTGATGTGGTACCTGATGAAGTGAGGGTGAACAATAGTGATGAGCGGACAAATGCCAGTAGTAGAGAGTCTGATTACTCTCCAATATGGAAATATTCATGTAAAGTTCCTAATGTTACCAGTCAGACAAATTCAAGTGAAACCAGTGGGGGTGAAGAAGCCATTTATGAAACTGTTTACCCAACAGAAGAATATCAGAATCAAGATGGAGATCTTGCTGCTGTTAGTGGTGAAGTGAGTGGGGGATTCAACAGTGAGTCTAGTCAACCAGTAAGTGATGAAGATTCCCCACCACCTCTTCCACCAAGAACTAAATCTCTTTTGAAATCTCTTGCAGACTCTGGCCATCGACCACTAGAAAGGTCAATGGCAGTGCAACTTGGGCTCCCCCCACCATTTCCCACCGTGGTTAAAAAGCGTCCCATGCCACTTCCAATCACTGTAGGAAATGGTCAGACCAACATATTGGTTGCTACAGGTACTCCTGGAAAGGTTTATAATGGTGTAAATGAACCAAGTGTTAGACCAAAGGCTACTCATCTTAGTGCCAGCTCTCAGTCTAGTTGTGATAGTGAAAGTAGTGGAACAAGCTTTGGGGAAGCAAAAAGAATGCAGTATTCCATGGAAGGATCATTTTCCTATGATATTGTTGATTTGGATGATGTTTTACAAGTTTCTGAAATGTCGCATAATCAAATTGATGTAGATAGTCAGTGCCAAGCAACAGAATCTTCAACTCAGGGACTTCATTCATCTTTGCAATCATCTTCTTGTGCTTCCATGGAAAGTGAACCTTCAGAGGATATAATCAGACCTTCCATGTTTCAGAATACTTTGGATGAAGTTTCTGCCATTGTATTAACCACACAGGTAAGTGACTGTGTCAGTGATGCAGCAGCCTGCAGTACTGTGGCACCACTTGCAACACCAGAACAGGATTCAAGTCTTCTGCAGGAAACAACTTCCACAGACACTCTACTAGAAAATTTTGAAGCCTTAGATCCCGATTTTAATGCGAGTTACAGTAGAGAAACGTGCTTAATGAAAGCTCTTGAAAATGTCAATAGTGATAGTGACAATGTTGCCTGTGATGGTGATGCATCTTGTGTTACAAGCTTTAATTCTTATGGACATTCTTTTCCTGAAGCATTAAATAACCAAAGTGATTCTCTGTCTAGTCCAGTTAATGTAACAGATGAATGTGATATGTTATTCAGTGCTCAAGAAAGTGAAAGCACAGCACAAGAAGATATTGCAAGTGAAATTGCAAACCAGACCGGTATATGTACAGAAACTGTAAATAATAATGATGAACTAAGTGAAGAAGAGTCTAGAATGGCTGTTAACTGCCTTACTCCAAAACCAGAGACACTACACTCAGAGAGCCTTGATCAGGAAGGAATAGCCATGCTTAGAGTAACAAGAAACGGATCTGTTTCTGGTCGCTCACCATCCCCAAGACTAAGCGATTCTCTCCAGGTCTCGAGCTCTACCTCTGAATCCATCTCACCTGCAGGTGGGTCAATGACCTGTTCTGTGTCTTCCCAAGCAGGTGAGGATGGCAGAAGGGGTTCTGAATCAACTTGCATGGTCATTAGTACAGAAAGCTCATCCTCTAATTCTGTATTTGCAAGTCCCACTGCAGAAACCAATGATTTGAATGTTGAGTCATTGGCATCTGCATCGTGCTCTGTGGATTTAAACATTACATCAGATGCTTCAAAGGAGTCTCAAACTGTAAACCAGGATTTCCAAGAACTTAGTGTACGACCTCGAAGAGAACAAATTTCCCAGGGATCTAATACAAATGACGATGAAGATATTCCACCTGCTGTTCCGCCACATAAACCTCATCATCGTCTATTAAAAGCTTTAGTTCACCCGCCTCTTTGTCCCCCGACCCCGACACATCATGCCAAACCCCAACCTCCAGAACGTACAACTAGTGATAAGAGAGACAAAGAAGTAAGTAACCTGGGAAAGGAAGAAGGTCGTGAGAGAGACGAGAAGCTTGGATCCTCTCATCACCCAAAGTTATCAAGGCAGCCATCTCTTCGTGATTGGCTCAGAAGATACCCAAAGGTTGAGGTTGCTTTTGATGAACCTCTCCCTTCAAGTAAGTAAAGCTACAAGGTTTATAGTTAAGGAAATTAAGGCTTTACAATAACAATGATACCCTATTAGATTTGAATATATGAGCAGACCTCCCCTTAGTGCGGAAGATCCATTCCTGAGGTATTCACACCAAATTGAAATTCATGTTAAATAACTTAGAAGGCTTTTCTTTTTTCTTTTTTCGTTTTTCTTTTTTTTCAGTGAGAAACCCATTAAATGAATTGTCATCATAAACTTTTATTCTACTCATATTTCAGATGTAGAAGCTCGGAAAGATAGCCACGGGAGAATATTCTTTATAGATCATGTAGCCAAAACAACATCATGGGAATGGCCTCCTCCAAAACCATTATCAACCCACCGTCCCTTATTCTTCGTACCTCAGGTGGATGAGAAAAGGTATGGAGATGCTTTCAGTTTCACTATTCCTTTGTTTATACTAATGTGTAAAGTAGAGTAATGTAATAAAGGAACATCTCAGGATTGTACCAAGAGTGAGCTGCTTTCCTCTTCTGTGATTAGAATTTTAAACTTATATAAGATAGGGTGAGTACTCACAAATGATCTCTGAGATGTAACCTCTTTAAACACTCTGCCATTGTCCTCAGAGCTGGCTTATTAGCAGAACACATTATACATGTAAACAATATTTAGATTGTAGGCAGCCTTCTCACCCAGTCAAATTGTGATTCCCATCCATGATTCAGTGGGGATTTCAGGTCAGGTGCCTTTGATTCTCAGAAGCTGCATGGATTTACATTCCAGTCTTCAACACCACCTTCCTGCACCAAACAGTCAGCATCATCTGGGTGTCAGTTGAAGTATTTCTGCAACCAACTATGTTATCTGTACAACACAGTTAGGTGCATGCTACACAGGTGATTGGTATTTAGGTTTATTAAAATTAGTAATGTTTATATTGGGCATCTAGCTGCTGGCTCTTTTCATTATCACTTTGGGTCGTAACTCTCAATTTTACACCTGGCTATCTCAACAGGTCACACACACGCTGGCTGACCTGGAGCGATGTTCTTACATCCTCTATATTCTTATCATATTTCCTTCATTATTTTTTAGAAAATCTAAATTACTTTAAATTCTTGAAGAGAATTAACAACCAGTATAGTGGGGTTGGCTTACATTCTTAGTGCTAAGAGTCTTAGTAATTTGCATGGCCAGTGGTATAAGTTATTCGTTCATAATGCAATAAAAAGTATTGCATTTTATATATATATATATATATATATATATATATATATATATATATATATATATATATATATATATATATATATATATATATATATATATATATATATATATATATATATATATATATACCAACAACTCAAAGAAGGTCCCGAAACAGAAAGTTCAATGCCAGCTCACCGAAAATGCTTACTCTCCCACCCCATGATTTCAGAATTCAAGGCTGCACTGCATTACAATACAAAATGACCAATAATTTGCATTTAGCTCAAGCAAGATGTTACCTCCAGTGTTGTTTGCTGTGTTATATTAAACTAGTCACTTTACCTTCAGTTCACTACAAAACATATTTACACATGTATTGGCGGACTGATACACCACACATGTTCACGACACACACGTTAACACACACATATATATATATATATATATACATATATATACACATACATACATACACACACACATACATATACATACATACATACATACATACATACATACACACATACATACATACATACATACATACATACATACATACATACATATACATACATATATATATATATATATATATATATATATATATATATATATATATATATATATATATATATATAACCTTCATTAGCAGCAGTAGAGTTCTGTAATGTTTCCTCTGCAGTACAATTATGTGCGTCACTATCATGTGGTGGTACTCCCTTCTCACGCTGGTGACAATTATGAAACATTGAGGATAAAATATCACTGCTGGTGTTACATGGTAACTCTGTACAGTATGACAATTACAATAACTTTTAAACTGGGTAAGGAAAATGTTTTGTTCTGTGTTAGTTAGCACTTATAGATTAAACTTTTTTCTCACTTCTAAAAGTGAAGGTTCTGGACAATATTTGGAAGATCAGTTGGTTGAAGCCTGTAATCTGAACATACAGATTTCAGACTAAGATTCCATTTTCTTTTCATCTTTTTGAACTTCCTTTTAGACAAAATTGGGTAGGGTATAAATTTTAGGCATATTTATTGCATATGCAGAAATGATTTGTCATCTCTCAAATTAGGTGAGCTGAATATTGTTGATGTTAATATAAAGTAATAATGGTAATGGGTTCATGTATTTAAAATCCGGTTTTAATTTTTCAGACGATCTTTATGTGAGAGTGGCGAGAGTGAATGCAGTGGAAGTCGAACTAGCAGTCGTGTAGTAACTCCAGAACCCTCCACTCCTACCTCTGCTGCAATTATGGTGCCTGGAGGAGCTTGTGCAAGTCCTGATCATTGTGAAGAGGGAGCTATTGGCCCATCACCACCACCCCCTCCCCCACCACCCCCACCTCCTCCACCAAGCATGTCACTGCCCCCTTCTATAAGTGAAATAACAACTACTACCAATGGAGGATCAGGGACAATTTTAAATGGCACAATAGCAGCACCACTAGGCGCAGTTATGGCAATGTCCGCAGGAACTGTTTTACCAGCAGCAACGGCAGTATTGACAGAATCAAATGGTGACAGGAGACGGCAGGAAGATGTCACTGATGCAGATGAAGACGAAAAAGCACCGACACCACCACCCCGTCCACATCACCGTCTTGCTCGTCCCACACCACCACTTCCGCCGCCACTTCCACAACAGTGCCCGCCTACACCCACACACCATGCTCGACGCCCTCATCATTCTATTGGAAGTGATCTGGTATGTTATTCTTAGTAGAGAATAATAAATGTATCTTTTCCTTAGTCTTGGAGGAACCTAATTGCTAGCTAGACCTTAAGTACAGTATTTAGAATATTGTTTGTGTTGGCATTTATATAATTTCTTTGGAAACTAAATATTTTCTCATCCTATATGTCCATCATAATATTCCTGAGTTTTCTCATTAATTCCTTATACAGTGAGTTGATTTACCATATTGATTGAATTATTGTAAGAAAGGGAGTGAGGGAGGCCATCATCACCTTTCAGTCTCATTCATCTCTCCCAACTGTAAACAAAGACCTCTCTTAATACACTGAAGATCATTCCATTTGTCTGATTAACTCATTTTTAATTGAAAAAGGGATTTACGTAGCAGTAAGAGGACATTTACATTACCTGTCTGCCCTAGTACAGTTGACCATAGCATAAATATAATATTCTAGAAGGTAAATAAAGCTTTTATATGTACAGTACAGTACAGTATGTACACCCCTGCAAATAATTACTTTTTAATTGTTGAAATTGTATTATTCAAGCAAATACACCTACAGTATTTCATCACATTTAGTGATTTATGTATATAAGGTTATAAGCAGTGAGAAAGATAGAGAGGGAGTAGAGTTTTTACCTCTCCAAACTCATGCTTACACCTTGGAGGGCTGTGTTGCCATCAGTTGGCATGTGTGGGAAATGTAAGATTATCTTCAACTGATCCATGCCAGTCATCCATTAATGTTATAACAAATATTTTTCTTATAAAAATCTACTTTACACAGGATGCTGGTGGACACCCAGAGCGTCATAGTCGCACCATGCGGTTACCGTCCATCCCAGAGAGAACCATCAAATTTCAGAGAGTTGAAATCCAACCAGGGGAAGAACCTTTACCTACCAGTTAGTATATGTGCTCCAGTTTACTCCCATCTTATTTCTGTCTGCTCTTATTATCTATACTTTTCTTTCACTCTTGTTAGGGATAGATCAAGTCTCATGCCTCAGTCCACCTTTCTGTTGAGAGGAAAGTGGCTGGAATTGATGTCAGGACACAAAGTTGTCATGTCAATGCTTATGATATGATGCTTCTCTGTGTATAATGATTTCAATGCCTGATATCCAAGAAGCCACTGTGGTAATGCAACACTGAACATATCAGGTTATGAGTGTGACATTCACCTACAGGGTGGGTACAGTATCTAGAGATTTTACAGCCTGACCCTAATGTGTGCCATTTACAACACCACCTATCCTGTGGTTACTTGCATTGTATAATCTGGTTTCTAGTCCAGGATTTCTCTTTTAATGAGGTACACAGTAGTGCGATACAAAATTTTGCTGCATAATTTGTAAGCAAGATGTAAAGCCCCAACTATTAACTTGGGCAAAGATTTTACTGTGTGAAGGATTCTTAACTAGTACCAGTTTACAGAAAATTTGAAAGGAAAGATTATCTGCTTCTAATATTGCTCTGGCTGTATGAAAATCCTCTTGTGTTTTAGACTGGGAAGCACGAATCGACAGTCATGGACGAATTTTCTACATTGACCACGTGAACCGTACGACTACATGGCAACGACCATCTGGTAACGACACAGCTCAGACACAGAGAAATCAATCAACCGATCAGCTACAGAGACAACAGTTAGATAGAAGGTCAGTTTTATGTATAGTTTCTGAAGTAGTTTTCCTTCATTGACCTACGGTATTTATATTTTATTAAGTTTTTCCAGCAGTACAGTCCATGTAAAAAAGCTTTTAGATGGTTTGTATAGTATGTTATAAGAGTATTAGACAAAGCTTTGTATGAGGTGTAGTAATTTTATATGGCCAGTTGCCAATTATAGTTTGTTGGATATGCATATTTCATCTAGGTTCACTTTGTAAGTATGAGAGAAAATTCACACTTTCACATGTACAGAAGAATTCTATTAGTTGGTTTTGATCACTCATAAACAGGGCTATATGGATAGTCCTTCAGTAAAGATATAAGAAAAGACCTGAGTTACTCCTGCCTCTGAGAGCATGTACTGTAGGTGGAGGCAAATGTCTCACTAATAAATCAACTCATTGAGCAAAATGATTAGATAGGCACAATTAATTTATAACATGCAGTAGCTATTTACAATACACAATGTCTCTTGGAATATTACACCACAAATTGTGTAGGAAGTATTGTTTTCATTTATAGGACTTCCTTATATATACAGTACAGTGACATGTAATGTATGTTCACTTTTAGGTACCAAAGCATCCGCCGAACAATTACCTCTAGGAGAGTGGAGATGGAAGACTTCACTCCAACAGGTTCCACTACTCTCTCTTCCTCTACCTCGACCCCAACACTTGCTTCCTCAGCTTCAGTCCCAGCCTTATCATCTGCTACGTCTACTTCCACCAATAGTAAGATCATTTGAATTACGGTATTTACATTTAAAAATTTAGTGTACTTTGAGCATTATAGTGAAGCATGTTGTAAGAGGTGGCTATACCTGTATAGTTGTGCAGCACCATTAGGGTTCCTTTGTTGTCAACCTTAATAAACTGGTGCTTCCAGTTGTTTCCCCCTTTGGATCTCCTTATTGCTGAGTAGAAGGATTAATTGGTTTGGGGATTAATTTCCTGGATTTGTTAACCATAGATACTGTGTGTTTATTTAGTGTCAATTACACATATCAGGTCTCCAGATCCAGGGTTATCAATGCCAGTGGACTGTGAACAGTATTGAAGTCATTCAGTCAGTGCTCAATTATAAAGTGAGATGTTAGAGCCTATCCCTAATTTTTAACACTATCGTTATAATGAAAATTTGGTTTAGTGTGATGTATAGACAAAAGTAGATTACAGCCACTCCTCGACTTACTACCTACTCAACTTACGACCACTCAGACTTACGACCGCCCCAGTCGTACCAAAAAATTTTCAAATTACTCTACGTATTTTCGAGTCCCGACGTTAGTGATTGCTCTGTGTATTGACAAAATTTTCATTTGTAGTTCCATTTAAAATGGCTGTCAAGCTTAAAAGTGAGAGTTTTGTGGTGTTGAGAAGAAAAAGAGACACCCATTTTAGATTTTCTATGTATTATTTTCGCATTTTCGACTTACGACCTGGATTTGGGTCAAGGAGTGGCTCTACTTGCATGGTTGAGAAACAAAAGTTATTTGCGTTATTGTTTTGACATTATTTAACCATATGTACTCTGCTTCATTAAATAATTTCTTTTTCAGATGTGACAACTCCAACTTCTTCATCATCTAGTATTTCTTCTTGTACCATGACGTGCTCATCATCACCATCAGTTCAGTCCCCTTCATCCTCTGCCTCATGTACCTCTTCTTTCACCCTTGCAACATCCTCCACCACCCTACCAACACCTTCAACTTCTGCTTTTCATCCTCCTTCTTCTAACTCTGGTCCGTCGTCATCATCTTCCTCTTCTGTGACGAGTGACAGAATGGATATGCTGTTACAGTTACCTGCAGTGAAGTTTCTTACCAGATCAGACTTCTTCAGTGTTCTGCATATGAATGATGTAAGGATGTAGCTGTACAGTATATAAATTCGGTCGATTTTGTATATAAGTATTGACAATGTATTCCTTGTGAATTCAGAGTTTTATTTTTATTTATTTTATTTATTTATGGTGGTTCATGTAGGTGGTGATAGCATGTTGAAAGAAAAGACCTGCCCAGTTTAAGTTTATTTAAAAGTACTGTATTTTCTATCTGTATAATGTATTGTACGGTATTTGGTGTATCTAAAGCTGCTCACTTTTTTTTTTCCTCAGGAGGCCTGCGCAGTGTACGAGAGGAGTGCATCCCTGCGGCATATGATCTCCAGAGTACGACGTGATCCAGCAGCCTTCGCACGTTACCAGCACAACCGTGACCTCGTTAATCTCGTCAATCAATTTTCAGATAAAGATCGTGACCTGCCTCCGGGTTGGGAAGCTAAATATGATCGTTCGGGGAAGGTATAATGAAAATTGTCTTTTTTCATTTTAATTTCTGTTGTATTTCATAAAAAGAATTTAATTAAGTAATTTATATGGTATGTGAGTTAATTAATATGAAGCATGGAGCATCTGTGTGAATGATAGAGATTCACTTTGTTTAGTTTATCCAAGTCAAGGATATATATAAGTATCCTTGTAATCTGTTTGTCATTGCCATTTCTTGTTCATTTCTACTCTTGTTTAGTATCATCTTACCAGTTATTCTCCCCCATCCCTTCTTTAATGTTTCTGTATCCCTTGATCTACTCCATACTAGATTAGAAGAGGATTTAAGATAATAGATAGAATCTGGTCCAGATGGTATGTGATGATCATCAGTGTGGTGAATGTGATAGTGTGACTATTGTTGAGGGTCTCAACTTGAGGCATTCTTCTGTGAATGAGCACAATACTATAATAGTATTTATAAATCACTACACCTTATGTTTTTGAATTTAGAATAACTGAGTTAGAACTTAGTAGTTACTTTAACAGAAGGCAGTGTGAATTAACCCCAAACCATGAAGCACTTAGTGGTCACAGCTGGAAACAATAAACACCTTGAATGTAAATTCCCCCTGGCCTTCACTGTTTGTAGATGCTTCTTAAGAGTTTCCCTCATTGAGGAGTGGTGAGAGGTTTTATTTCATTTGGTCCCCACCTCTCATGGGTTTGACTCCTGCTGAGTCTAATGCTTTATTGCCTTATTAAAAAATCAAACTCCCAGCGTCGGGCCTGAGCAATTTCATTTCAAGGTTTGGAAACTAGATGGTAGATCTCCTCACTCGATAAAGGCAGTTCAGAATTACTTGCAGTTGACAGATTGCTTAATCAACAATCTTTGCACCTAGATATTCTGTTTTAGTGTGGAGTCTGGACTTATAATTTCAGTGACATAGTCAAAGTCTTAATTTTTTCTGTTGGGTTGTATGTTTCATGTGCATAAATTTTGGGAATATTGTTTCCCTTAGCCACTTATGAAAATAAATAATTGAAATAAGTATTTCAAAGGCTTGCATGGGCAGGGGCACTGGAAAAGGTGCTCACTTCCACTAACTAGATGAGGCTGCTGTGCCTTAGGATAGTACGGCACTTAAGAGCTTGCATAGTGTGTCTTGCTGCTAAGTAATAGAAGCTTCCTAAGACAGTGACAGGTTTTGCCAGGGGGTCTTCTGTAGTGGTGCTTCTCACCCGTTATTTGTCTCATCCTTGAGCTGTAAAGTGGATTTAATGCTTTAGTTATTCATTAATTGTAAATTATATATTCCACCGACTTCATGAAATTTTCATGTTCTTTTAAACTATCAGTTAGATAGTACTGATATTTTACCTAGATTATTTTTCTCATAAGTTAACTAAACAAGTAAACCGTTACCAGCCACATGTATCCATCATAGATTGTCAAACTACAGCTCAGAATTTAAATTAGGTAATCTTTATTTTGTTTTACTGAATCAGTAAATGGCATAAAATTTCAATAAGACTGAATGAATGTGTCTTTTCAGTTATTCTTCATTGATCACTCCAGTAAAACTACATCATTCATGGACCCCAGACTCCCCATTGATGCTCCTTTCATAAATACCAGCAAGTTAGCCCTGCCCAGTGCCCATCATCGCAGATCGCGCTCTCCAGGAGAGGATGATGCTGCTCGGGTCAGTTCTACTATAAAATGGTCCACAGTTTTAGTTTATGTTTTAATTCAAAGGATAAATTCAGGAAACATCATTAGCATTAATTGTACTCAAAACATAAATTTTGTGATTACAGTAGGGCCTCCCTGACACAGACTAATTACAGTAGCACCCAGACCAAAGTACTGTATAGCAGATTCCAAGGTAAAGATGGCAACCCCCCAAAAAAAATTAAGGTAAATTTTATTTTTAATCCTTTAAAGGCAGCCAGTATCATAGGACGGTTCAAGTTCCTTGCATTTCATTTTCACACTTATGGAGGTGGAGTAGGGAATCCATAGCAGCCAGTTAAGTGTTGAAATGTGCAACATAGAATTGGAATCTTGTCATCACTGCAAGACACTTTTCTGTTCACAAGATATTTGAAAAGTGAATAATCAGTTATGCCATACTAGGACACAGTACTGTATGTGCACATGCAGATACAAACAAACCATAAGAAAATGATTGTATGCCAACACTGTATTCCAGTTCTGTAAAATGTAAAATACTGTTTAAGCAAGTATAATCCTTGCTCTCTCTCTGACACTTATGAATTAATTGATAAGCCTAAAAAAAAATGAAACAAAGGTGTTCTAGCGCACTCAAATAAATAAACCAAAGATTATTTTAGTGTTTCCTGAACACGTGAAAAACCCCCCAAAAAATTTATGGGTTTCTTGCTCCCTTCTTTATATTTTGTTAGTTCTCCCTTCACTTTTTCTGTCAAACCTGTGTAGCTGATGTAGCCTCCCTAATCAGTCATGCAGCTTAGCTCAACACATTTTATTAAACTGTGAATCCAGCATTGCTTTGTTTTTACTTTGCCGTCAGTAGTTGGCTTGCCAACTCTCTCAAGATACAGAGCTTGAATTTAATTTCCATTACTTCAACCTGAACCCTTAGACCACTCAGTGCAGCTTAATGTTGTTTCATGTTTGTTATCCAAGTCTTCAAGGCATTCTCCATTTCTTGGCACAATGGCAGCTTTGAATGCTGGATGGTCTTGCATATGGATGGCTGCGCTTATGCTGCACGAATGTTGTCAGCCATCAGTCTGATACTGTGAATCATGCTTTCATTTACCTCTTTTCAATGTGCCACAACTGATATGCTTCGTCTTCAAGTTCTTCCAAATTTTCAATTCTCTTTCATAAAACCTCTTTCTCTCCTTTTTTTTTACTTGAACTGGAAAGAGAAGTGGCTGCTGAACATTTAGACAGCTTGATAAATGGTGCCTGTGGTAAATCTAGAGGAATTATTGGAGTAAGAGAAAATGCCCTTGACTTTGAGTGAACGGAGGCTAAGTGACACCAGGATTGCACCTGAGGAAGTGTACGGTAGTTGTAACAGTGCGACTGATGTAAAACACGTGCAGTCTGGCTTTTCTTACAATATGTAGAAAAATGGTAGCGATTTTGGTAGCCACTAAAAAAAAAAAAATCACTATGCAGATGCATTATGAGAGGACGCTTGTGTGCTAAAGTGATGTACGTACAGTATGTCCATACAGTACAGTATTTGTTTTCCCACATTCAAGCAGCCCAATTCCTGCTGTTTGCCGTTTGGTGGTGGTATGTTAAAAAATATGTATAATAATTAGGCTTGTGCTGAATAAGCAGAACAAACATTAAAAAAATCAAAACGTGGTCCTAAAGTATGATGTGTTTTGAGTGGATGTTTGTGTGTTGGGAACTGAGGAGTGTCTGCTGTACTGTGGTGGTTTTGGGGGGACATTCAGATTACTGATGAATAGATTCTGACGTTTTACTGTATTTACATAGAAAACAGTAAAGGAAGCTCACAAGAACTTAATGATTTCTTTAATTTCTTTATAGTTATGACTTGATAAAGAACATTTAACATCTTCAATCACACATGAAAGTTGCAAGTTTAGTCATAGGATAAGACTTGGTGTGTTGGCAGAGGTAACTCACTCCTGAAACAAATGTAACTTAATTGAAGCCTGGTTTTTGGCTGGGCCTATATTGCTAACTGCAGCTAGTATACTTTTGAGTGTGTCTTGAGGTGTGTAAGGCTTGAAAAATCCAGTTGAATTTTCTCCTCTCACTAACAGAAAGTTTTAGGAGTAGAAGGTCTGAACTAGAGGCACTGCTGTGTATTACTTGTGGTACATAAAGGCAGATCAGTAACCGGATATGTTTTGAGTGTATTAATCTGATGATGTTGCATTATGAATTCATCATGCGTGTTGCATAATTTTCAGTGGGTAGCTTAAAGATCTCCCAAACAATGGTTCATTGATTGTTGAATGTAAAGCTCTTATATTAGATTATTTACTTATTTTATGCATTGTATTAACATCCATCATTATAGCTTATTTTTATCATTGTAATTTTTTTATTTCTTGAATTTATTCCTCGTATCATCAAAGGGCTGTGGATATTGATGCTTGATTTTATTTCTGTAAAATTTTTACATTTTACTATGGCAATTTTTTATGTAATTTGAAGTGCAGTGGATAAATCTCAAGTTACCTAATATATTCATTAGACAGATATAAAGAAAATCTTAATCGATATCTATGGAATGTGGTTTAAAACAAAAGTAAAGATTTTTTATTTCCTATACAGTATACTGTAAATTCAAAATAATGTTCAGAATACATTTGAAATGTGTGCATGCTTAATTAACTTATCCACACTACTTTTTAAGATATATTCATGTCTTTAAAAACGATAATGGTTTTAGTACAAACTGAAACTTATAAATTATTTTTGTTTTAGATATTAGATGATGCAGATTAGATATTTTACCAGTATTAGATGTGCTGTATACTGTAAATAAAGCTGAAGGCTGCCTGCAGAGATTTCTTTTACGATTAACTTTCCACCTAGCTACTGTATGTGAATGTCAGGATATATCTAGATAGACTTTTAGTTCTCTTAATTTTTATCAAAAGAAATGTTTTGGCTTGGCTGTTTAATGGATATAAATTATCCTACAACTCTCATATTCAGAAACAAGAATGTGTTAATATCATGAGGGTTATTTCTACAAGAGTATGATCAACTCGTCAAGGAGAAAAGTATAATTAGGAAGAAAGAAAATTAAATTGTAAGTTATGGACTTTCTGACTTGTGTCCTTAAGCCAGGAGCTCTCATAATACTAGGTAATTTAATAGGGGGTCCCAATGTCTTTAAATGGGGGCCCCAGCATCATAGAGGTTAATCTGTAAAGTTGTTCAGACAGATTGATCCCCCTATAACACCACCTTCATCAAATGAAGGAGACATACAGTAGTGTAATGGTTGCCCAGAAAGTCTTGAGGTCTTTTTAGAGCCTTGACTGCCCAATTTAACACTCAACATGCAGAGGCTGCTGTCCATTCTCTTTGATTCCAGGCTTATCTGCTATTTCTATTCAGTTCTCGGCTGACATTCTGAGGACTGTTGCAATAGACCAACTATCCCGTGTGCCACTTATATTTTACAAAACTGTCATCCTATTTGATGCTGATGGAATGATGTATATTACTGATCTTTCCGAGTTCAGATTAGTGTCCTAGAATTGGCTAGCCCTATCACCCATGTTTGTTGACACTTTCTTGCACTAGTGTTTGTGGGAAGGGTGGTTGATGTTAGGGAGCCTTATCTAAATACACAAGGACCATGAGTAAGTTGCCCTATATTATGAGAGTTGTTGGCTACTGGCTCTACAAGAAAGTGATATCAGGATATATCCTCCATATTTTCTTCCAAAGTACTGCTGTAACCAATACTTAAAAAGTACAACTGCAAACTCATTCAGATCAGTAGTAGTGGAAAGCAACAAATTATTATTATTACTTGTTATTATTATTTGTTATTGCTATTGTTATTAATATTATTATTGTTGCTTTTTTAAGAAAAGTGCTATTGGTTAGAATTTATGCACTGATGCCTTAGGACACTACCCATTTTTTGAACCACTGTCATTGATGAAGAAATCACTTGTATGTTGACCATTGTGGACAAAATGATGTGTTTGAAGCTTCTTGGAAGGTGAGAAGAAGGTACAGTATTTTCTGAGTATGACAGGATGGCATTTTTGGGAAAAGAAAAGTCAGTATTGTTTTACAAATGCACACTTTCCTCAGCTCTATCCTGGCCATTCTTCTCTCAGTGACTTGGTAATTCAATCATTGAGAAGAGAAAGAATTTTTACCAAGAAATATACAGTACTCCCTCACCAGCCATAGGTTTACCAACTGCAGTTTTGAGCATCCACATTTTGTATTTGTGCAGTATATCATTTTACCTACCATGGTATCCAGTTTTAAGTGTCTGCAGGTTTCCACAACCACCTCATGAGATCAGGTCTATCAAGTGGTTCACATTGTTTGTTCATGTGTACAAAGGAGTGCAGAGAGCATTTAAGGTCTCTCTTTCCTAAAAATTAAAATTCGGGTGATTAGACTTAAACCATCAGGCTGCACTCTTGAAAACACATGATCTCAGTGGTTATGCAGCAGTTATCAGCCTTCCTGAGAGGAGTGTCTCTAAGACAATTCTGAAAAAACGAGTGTTTGGTTCTTTAGCAGTGACCATTAGGTGAACCTAATAGAGTAGACAGTGCAAGTATGTTGTGTGCTTTTGGAAAGTTTATATGCAAAAATGTACCATTTTAGTTGCTTCCCCTCTGGGTTGTAGCTCTCATTAATACTGTATTAGTTTTATTTTTCCACCCCCTCCCTTATATCTAGCTGGTGTTTGAAACTTTGGTTTCCTTGGATCCTGTAAATTGCATTTATAAAGCTGAGTTAGGATAGGGAACTTGGAACCCATGCTCCTCCCTATGGGTTTATTGTGGAGTTTAACTGGACTGAGGTTTGTTACTAAAAATCCAGTGTGGTCAATGACTGGCCACAAGCTACTGTGGTACAAGCTACTGTAGCACCAAATTCAACAAGACCTGATAAACTTTCAGCCCTCTGGGGTCAATATTGTTTCTTGTCTCCCATTTTAAGGGTGATGGTTATTATGGGAAAGATGTACTAATGAATTATCAATTCCAGCCGTCAATTTTAAGGGTTAAAGCCTGGATAGGAGCCTAACCTTATAATCCTGCCAGTGCCCATTGTACTTGTCTTATTGAAGGGTACACTTCCTAGGCAGGGGGCATAAAGGACATTCATTTCACAATTGACTTCTTCCTTCTTGCTTTTCCAATTTGATTTAGGCCAAACGTAAAGGAATGAGGCATGAAATTCCATTATATGGCCAAGGGAATAAATGAGGTTGCTCCTCCTTTCTGCAATGTCCTAAATTGACAGGGAACAGTGTTGGGTATTGGGTTTCAAACAAAATGAACCCCATGAACTAAAGACTCTTGATCCAAAGCTTTAGCAGGCTCTGAAACAACAAATGAATCTGGATCTGAATCCAAATTTGATTGGGTGAGGAAGAGGCTCAAGCTCTGAAGCATTTAGTTTGTAGCCATGTAATGTGTGTATGGATAATGCCATCTTGCCATTAAATGTTGCACAAAGCCAAAACATTGACAGGATTTCCCAAAAGGTATTTGTGGATGTCCATCGTGCAGGTCACTCGTTCATCCCCTTGCCCATAAAATATGATTTTATGACTCGGTCCTCCTTTTTTCTCTCCTCATTAGTTGAAAAGTTTGATATTTGAACGTTACTTTCCACTATTACTGATTCATCTGGGCAGAGCAGTTACTTTTTATCTGGGAAAGCTGTTTGAAGAGATGATGACATTGAAAATTGCACACATACTCTACAGAATTAAGCTTGAAATTGTATGAATGACCATAAAATAATGTTTAAGGTGAAACAGGATTAGTGAAAATTCATTTGTGGTGGAGGGCATAACATTTTATCTGCATAGATGAATTTTATAGTAATTCTGTCACTAACTTTTTGTTTCATTCATGAAAGATTAGCACACAATTTTTTGTGAAGAATATATATGTAGTTTTTGCCATTGTGCTTAAATATTGCTGCATGAATTTATGTTAATGATATATTCAAATATTAAAAGACTGTGGCTTAGAAAATAATGCTTTCATTGCTGTTTACTCATCACTGCATTCACAATTATATGATGTTTACATATATTCTTTTAGTGGTTTTTTTTTATCATGCTTCTTAATATTTGCATTCTTAGGTTACTAGTCCTTTGATTAATTGTGCATGTTTCATTTAAAAGCATATTATTAAACACATGGATAATGTTACAGGGGTTCTCATCAGGTATAAGCAACTTTTTACAAACAGCATTTCAAGTTGTATATTGGGTACTGTACATAGCTTATCTTTATAACTTGCATACAGTGTCAAGTATGGTGACAGAGCAGCATATTCCAAATTGTTTCACAGAGCATAATGTAGAAGCTTGCTTTTAGTATCATCACAGAGGCAGTGTAGTAAGTAGTTGAGGTAGCCCGAGTTAGCTCTTACCAAGACTCACTCCCCACGCAGGTTCCCATTCCCCCGCCACGCCCACCTACCACAATTGGCAGTGTTTGTGGGGGCATCGCTGCACACGTCACCCCTAACATTCCTACTGCCTACAATGACAAGGTGATATATTGTAGTTCAGCAGTGATACCATAGGAATATTTCAGCCTCATGTTATGGTCATCATATAAATAAATATCAATAAGAAAACATTAAAACCACATGAGGCATATTGAGATGGTGATGTCTATTGTTATTTATTTATTTATTGGTTTTACTTAACTCACTCAGTATTGCTAATAAGTAAACAGTCTAAAGTTGAATTCAAGAAGCTTATTGTTGTGCAAGTTTCACCTACAGTTATGTATATTTTACAAATTACCCCATAAGTTGATATTGTTATTCCTGTGTTTTGTCAGTAACCCATCTCCTTTGTGTAGGCTGATAACAAGACAGGTTTAGGATCCTTCTATAACAGGGGTCAGCAACCCTCATATTTCCGGCCGCATGCAGCCAGAAAATTTGTATTTGTGGCTCGCATGATGGCATCCAAAATATGTGATGAGCGGCAGGCTAAGTTGATAAGGTAAGGTTGAACACTTGGTGCAGCAAACACCTCACTTGATACACTTTGTAAGACCAGAAAACATTGTACCTGGCAGCTGACTACACACAAGTACATAAAATACTTGTAATGATTACAGTCAGAATTCACAGATAGTTTTTCTGAGATTCAGAGGAAGAAAATTTTTTTCTCATTTGATTCAAGTTCTTTTCTTTTTAAGCAGACGAGGTCAGTCATTGTCAGCCATATGTTGATGAAGGAGATCTTAGTGATGGACAGCTGTAGCACCTGGACCTGCAGGTTAATATCCTGTAACACGTTCACAGAAATGCAGTCATTGTTGGACTTTGGGGGAGGGTGAATTAGGTAACACTGAAATGAATTGATTTCATGGTGTTTTCAATGTTTGGGTCAACTTACTGCTGCCAGCATTCTTATGTAAAGAATAATTACTATACTGCTCAAAGCTCATTAATAATCACACAAGGAACTTGTGGAAGCAGCTTTTACTAAATTTGAACCAGATTTCACAAAGATTGCAGAAGATATTAAGTGTAATTTCATGTGAATCTTAGTTACCATTTCCCTTGTATTGTTGAATGCAAAACATAAATTTTTTATGTTGCATTAATATTTATTGCCACCCATTAGGCTACTTAAATTTTTGTTCTGTATACCAGTATTTGCCTGAATAAATTGTTTAATTCTATATTTCGTAATGCCCAATTTCATGTTTTATTTTTCTGAATTTAATACTTTTTGCATAATTACACTATGATGGCTGTGGCCATTACTGATTTCTTGTTTGTAATCTGGCCAATTACTATCCAAAGGTTGCAGACCCTGTTCTTTAAGATTTTATTACCGCAGCTGAATTTCACTTCCTAATCCCTACCCGGCGTTTCACTTCTATTGGGCATTAAATACTGTATACCCTGTATAGGATTTGGCGGTGGAGTTGATACAGCTGTCGCCTCTTGTTCCAAGGGTCGATGGTTCATTCCTAGGGCATCTCTTGTTCATTCAGCTGTAAATGAGCCCCTGGCTTTTCAGTTGGGTAAATGAAGGTGGTCAAGTTCAGTACCGTTCATGCTGCCTCCTTGTGTACCAAAGGTTTAGTATACAGTGCGTTGTACCCACACTGCTCATAACCGGTCATCAACATTATGGAACCTACTGTCATATATTGTATGGAATGTTCATGGTATCATTTATTAATCACATAAGTTTTGCATGGTTAGAAGTAGGTTTTCAAGGTATTGATCTTTGGGCTCAGTATGTTACTTATGTTAAATTCTATATTGGCAGAACTGACAGTATGAAAAAGGTGGTGGTGGTGGTGGATACAAGAGAAAGCATATCATATTAAGGGCCAGTAACTTAATACTTTTTCCCTCCATTACAGATTTGGCTGAGACTAATCTTACCTGTCTCTCTATCTGTATATCATGCTTGTGCTTTTCCATCAGGAACTTAACTAAAGAGCAAATTGATAAACCAAAATGAGATTTAGCATATTGTTTGGGTGGGTGTACTGGTGGGTGGTATTGTCAAGGTATGAAATGAGTTGCTGAGTGTGGTCAGGTTATGTATGTGCTTTGATTGGGGTGGGCTCAGAGTGGGGTGATGATAGTGAGATGTGTAGTACAGTATTCCAGGAATAAAGTAGCAGTTACTGTTCAGAACACATTTCATAAGATGTTAAGTTTGGTGTCACAAGCAAGGATTGTGTCAAATAGTATAGTAACTGTTGGCTACTCCTGCTCCCATGAATTGTGTGTGGCAGATTGGCAGTGTTAGAATTTTGTGAATGTATGTAGTTAGGGTAGATCCTCTGTGCTAATTTTTCAATATGTTTTGAGGTTTAGCTTTGGTAATGATGGTTTGTTTTGTCAGCTGATGGGAGTGGCATGAGGTTATGTTATGTATCGATGGAAGAGGTTGTCTAAATATATTTAGTTCAGTACAGGTTTCATATTATTTTTGGATTTATTCCAACCAGTGACTCCATATTTCTGGAACCAATTATGGCTCAGGCTTGCTCACTCTTCTTGTTGCTTTAGCTGTTAATGCATTTGCGTAATTTAACAATTGACATTTTCAAATATTGTTCTTAAAATTCAAAGTGTATATAAAATTTGAGATTGGGAGCCGTCATAATGTTATTATGACCATAATGTCCACAGGCAGCTATGGGTGAAACATTCAAAACTCAGCAGTTGCATTGTCTCAGCCAACCTGCCATAGACTACAGGAATATGAACATATGTTCTTTAACCCTTTCAGTCCTAAATTCAGTCTAATTTTGCTTCCTCCTCCTTGGGACTCTAACCCCAAGTGTGAGACATCTGTAGAACTGAAAGGGTTGATTGGTTTACCATGAACTAGAGAACCATGGTACATGTGGCTATGATATAGTGAGGGTTTATTGTACTGTACAATATAGTGCTAGTACTGTAGTATCTAAGTCAAGTTCAACTGAAGTGTTTAGATATACGGATCCTCTATTTTTCTTAGAATGAGAAGGAAAATATGTTAGCCTGATGATAAGCTGCTTTTAGCATTACTGAGTGAGTACTAAAGAGAAGTAATATGCCAAGTAACTATGAAAAAAACCACAATCCTGCTTTTCTTTGGTTAATTTTACTTGTGGTAAATTCTAGTACAATATTATATGATAAAAATCTGTTAATTTACTGTATTTCCATATTTAAAAATTGTATCTGTAGTGTAAGTGCGTAGGGGATTTGTTTCACATCTTTTAAGACATTAGTTATGTTATTTCTTATTACATTTTGGTTTAATAAATTTGTTAATATATGTGTTTGTAATGCACATTCATATTGCAATATATTTATATGAATGGGTATTTCCATATTATCAGTGGCTTTGAGAGTGAACTGTTTAAGACTGAACACTTTCAGTTTGCCTAACACCTTTGGGCTTTTGCACAATGCACTTCATTTATTATTTGCTTGTACTGAGTGTTGAAGTGCACTGTAAGCAAACACTGTAAAGTCACCAAAATTCTGTTCTTACAAGATGAAATTCTTGTAATGACCAATTTTTATTAACATTATTTTGTATAGATCTTATTGGCTTCTCTACATACACAGGTGGTTGCTTGGCTTCGTCAACCAAACATTATGGATATTTTGTGTGAGAGGCATAGTGGTCTTCGTACCTCGCCTGCTCTCAGGGACAAAGTCACAGCTATTAGGGTTGACGGCACCACAGCTCTGGACCGACTCAGTCATGATGTTGACCTCACCATAGTTCTTAGGTAATGACTAAATATCTTTTTAGTAAATTATTTTTGATGAAAAGTATAAAATTTTGTTGGTTGAGAAAAGTAAATGATAACATAGACAAATTAATATATTTATATATATATCTTGATAAAATCACACGGGAAAAGGGAAACAACGGAGCACCTTAGCTTTCGTCTTTATTCAAGACGAAAGCTAAGGTGCTCCGTTGTTTCCCTTTTCCTGTGTGATTTTATCAAGATATATATATACCAATTTTTTTGTTTACAGTTTGTTTGAACATGAGATCATGTCTTATGTACCACCCACGATTGGTATATCTCCTCGTGGCTCCCCACAACCATCTCCACAAGCCTCACCAGGACTGGCACGGGCAAATGCTCGAGCACCAGCCCCATACAGAAGGGACTTTGAGGCAAAGCTCAGGAATTTTTATAGAAAACTGGAAGGCAAGGGCTATGGACAAGGTCCAAGTAAACTCAAGTAAGTTATTTTAAAGTCTATACAGTAGTCCTTGTATAACGTCGGCCCGCTTAACGTTGTTTCGGTACTACGTTGCTAAATTCGTTTAACGTCCCGATGACTTGGTACAACGTCGTTTTGTGTCGTCAGAGACTACTTTTTATGGCGCATCGCCCTCTCTCGTCTGGCTGCGCTACGCCTTCCTCCGCTCCCACCCTCCTCCTCTGCTCCCGCCATACTCCTCCCCTCCTGCCATCCACCTCCTCTGCTTCACTACCCACCACACACTCGCTGTACCACCTCCACCCATCAGTGAGTACCAATACAAACTCAGTATTTGTATATGTATGCACTATTTTCTATTTCTTTGGGGGAAAATTGATCCGCTTAACGTTGTTTCGTATAGCGTCGCGTTTTTAGAAATGTAACCCCGATGTTAAGCGAGGACTTACTGTACTGTATTATGCTGAAAGGGAAGGAGAAACAGGCGTATATGTGTTACAGGTACTTGATATAAAACATCAAAACGAATTTAATTTCATAATACAGTAATGATAAAAGGACTCAGTAAATTGAGGATAAACTGATATCAAGGGTACTCTTAAGAAGTTACTTAATTATAAACGTTCAGTTTCTACCCTTATTGAGAAGAAATTTTGTACAGGTCGTCTTTACAGTAAAAACCCTGAGAACCGGACTAATTAAGCCTCAATGATGTCGTTACTCGGACGAAATCCGTTATTCAGACGTCCATATTAGCAGGAGGACATAACAGCCAGCATATTAGCTAACACAGATTAGCTTATTTATGCTCAAAATAAATTAGTTAAAGTAAAACAATCATACTTAGGATACTGTATAGTGTATATGTACTTTAAGTAAATTTTTTGTTTTGCTACAAATTATGTCTAGGATTATACCTAGTATTTCTCAAAAGCTAGGATTGAATTATAGGTTGATTTAACAATGAGTAAAAGGGAATAGGCTCCAATCCTTTGCTATTCTGTATTGTTGTGATGCAGCTGGGTTGGCAGGACCATGTGGTTCCCGCCACACTGTTCCACAACAATAACAATGACCTGCAAGATATATTTTTTTTTCTTTCCCCAAGATTCATGTCGTTGCTCAGGTGTCCAGTACTTGGGGTATTTACTGTAACTATTTGTTTGCTACAATGCTCTGAGGAAGGGCCATTGTGTTACTATTGTTATAGAGCAACAGCAGAATGAGTGCTGTGCAGGGCTTCTTTCTGTATGAAGAATTTGGAGATGGAGGAAGCTAATGATTGATATTTAGGTTCAGAAGGCTTATATTTAAAGTCTTGGAGATAAATGGGTGCTTGGGAGTGTATCATACAACTTACTACACATATCTGAACTTGAACATATATCATAATTGAGGTCCAAATCGTATTACATGTATAATGTACACATTGCTGTATTAGGATATTACTTTGTCTGTTCTTAGTAAAATAGTTTTGAGGTGAACACAAAAAGAGGCAGTATGAATAGAATACAGAAGCAAAAGTATTTTAACAATATTAGAATATAAATAGAAAACTATTCCTTATTACTTGAGGTTTATGAAATATAAAACATTATATAATGGCAGTTTCCGTTTCTTTTCAGGCTCAACATCCGTCGTGATCACTTATTAGAAGATGCTTTTAATAAGGTGATGGGAGCCAGCAAGAAGGACCTTCAGAAGTCTAAATTATACATTACATTTTATGGTGAAGAGGGACTTGACTATGGTGGTCCATCTCGAGAATTCTTCTTCCTTCTCTCCAGAGAACTCTTTAATCCTTACTATGGCCTCTTCGAATACTCAGCAAATGATACATACACCGTTCAGATTTCTCCAATGTCTGCATTTGTAGACAATTACCATGACTGGTTCAGATTTTGTGGAAGAGTGTTAGGCCTGGCTCTAGTTCACCAGTATTTGCTTGATGCCTTCTTCACCAGACCATTCTACAAGGGTCTGCTTCGCAGGTGAGTGATAAGTCGAATATATGATAAGTAATTTTCTTCAACTTTGGTTGTAACCCATTAACATGGCTTTTATTGCACTTTTTTTTCAGATAATTTAATTAAGGTGTATCAATTAATTTTTGTCTACGGGTTAAGTTGGACATTGTAAAATTGTAAGCTAAAAAAAAAAGTGGTTTGCCCATGTATATATTAACTAAGGTATTACTATCCTTACTTCAATCCAGTAAATTCTTACAAATTTGGGTTTATCTACGGGAGAGTCAGTCTTAAAATGTGAATGTTCAGGAATTGGAAAGAGTTCCCTCCCCAGGAATCCATTTTGGTTGCCTTACACAACAGTGCTAACCTCACACTTACCCCATGCACCAATAACCAACCAGTGCCCTGTTGTCTGTAGCATCCGAAGACAATATAATGATAGGAATAATTTAAAATTCAATTTATTAATTTAATTTTCCTTTCAGTCCTGTCTCATTGTCTGATGTGGAGTCACTTGATTCTGAGTTTCATCAGAGTCTCTTATGGGTGAAAGACAATGATATCACTGATATGTTGGAACTCAACTTTTGTGTCACTGAGGAGATATGTGGACATGTGGTTGAGAAGGATCTAAAACCAGGAGGCAAAAATATTGCAGTTACTGAGAGAAATAAAAAGGTAGAAAATTTCAAGTTTACTTACCAGTACTGTATGTATGTAAAAGAAATTTACTCTTTATTACAGAGCCGTGCTCATGATTATCCTGATTATCTCTCTTGTCAGATACTTTATATCTTAATATGTACCTATAAATGCAATACCAATTTACTTTACTGTAAAATTATAAGAATTTATTATTAAATTCAACTTGCTTTGTCAAATTACATCATGCCTTATAATCCTACGACAGGAATATCTAGAAAGAATGGTAAGATGGCGCTTAGAACGAGGAGTAAGTGAGCAGACAGAGAGTATGGTTCGTGGCTTTTACGAGGTCATTGATCCACGGTTGGTTGGAGTGTTTGATGCAAGAGAATTAGAGTTGGTCATTGCTGGCACGCTGGAGATTGATGTTACTGACTGGAGAAAGAATACAGAATATAGATCAGGTAATTCATAAGTTTTTATTTATAAGTTCTTCTCTTTTATGGTCAGTGTATTCATTGCTTGTAATATTTTGTTCTAGACACATAATTCACCCAGCTAAAAACTGGATTACAAGAAAAATGGATACTGAGTGCTGATGAGACTACCATACTGAGCTCCTCCCCTCACACACACACAATATCATTATTATTACCCTGTACAGTATTGCCTCACCTCAGCATAATAAGACAGGATTCTTTGTTACTGCTGAATGGATTAATAGCAACATCCTCACCATTCTGAGACCTTTTTGTTTTTAGAATTATTAGATTGAAGGATCCAGGTATGATTGGAAAAGCAGCTGCTTCATTAGCACCTGCCACTTACATTTATTGGAATGATAAAAGGTGAATCCGTCATATAACAAATCCTGCAATTGCAAACCATCTGATCATCTCTTAGTCATAATATGGGAGAATTATTGGATCAGTCATAGATTTAATGGAAAGGTTAGCACTTTCCAAAGCACAGCCTCGTGTCTACACTTTATAAGGTGGGTGGCTTGGTGATGAGGGATTGGTGAGTAAAGTACTTTAAATCATGAGTCATTCTTATCATCTTCAAGCAAAGAATGGGATTTCATGAATCAGTCACTCTTTATGGACCCTTAACCATATCTTACTGAGGAACAAGTCAAGTAGTAGATGTAGAAAGAAAGAATTTTCCCTATGATAAGACTGATATATACTCTAAAATAAATTTTGGTAAAGTTAAAACATATACAGTACTGTATTAAAAATTTTATTTCAGGTTACCATGATACTCATCCTGTGATTCAGTGGTTTTGGCTAGCCATTGAACGTTTCGACAATGAGCGCCGTCTACGATTATTGCAGTTTGTTACAGGCACCTCCAGTGTGCCTTATGAGGGTTTTGCAGCTCTAAGAGGCAGCAATGGACCTCGTCGATTTTGCATTGAGAAGTGGGGCAAGCCATCTAGTCTACCCAGGTTAGTTAATTATTTCTTTCCAGTACAGAGTAAGGGGAAGTATGGAGCACTTGCATTGTTCGTTTATCCATTTATCTTATATGGAGTACAGAGTATATGAGGTCAGAATTTAGATTTTGCTCAAAATTTATGCATTGGTACTCTTTTGCTTGCTGGTCAAAGACCTGGGTTTAGAATTTTAAAATTCGAGTAATTAGTGTTAATTAATGAACTTTGAAGTACATGTAATTAAATACATAGCTACAGACAATTTAAAAGTTAGTGATTTTTTATCTTAATTTTTAAATATTTCAGCCAAATTTAGTTATTTATTTCCAATCACTAGGTCCTTGTACCCACTGTAGTACAGTCAACCCTCGCTTTACGAGGTCCCACATTCCGCGTTTCAACGTTTACGCGGTACCCTGCCGAAACAAGAATGCTCACATTCCGCGGTGTGTGTACCCCTTTACGCGGAGAGCGGCTGGCGAGCCGCGCCATTTTTGGATTCAAACCTCCCGCCATCCGCCATGTTGTGCAAGCTGCGCGAGCATGGTGCGCACAAGGTCGCCCAGTCATCAAAACATTACCGAGTTCTTCACCCGCCACCCACCACAGCCGGCCCAAATCAGTGATAGTGATAATTATAGTGAAGATATGGACTTATATGGACTTTGAGGGGTTTGACAAAGAGGCCCTGCAAGCCTCTATGGTGGATAGTGATACAAGTGATACAGGTGAGGGCCAATAATCTGCCCTCTGCCTCGGAACCAACCGCCCATCCCCTTGTGCCCAGCCATCTTTTCTACTAATGTAAATGTTAGAAAACCTAATATTATTGATATTTCTCTTAATTATTAATTGTTTGTGCATACCATCATCAAGTTAAGATAATATTTTTACTACAACATAGTTGTGTGTCGTCAAAAAGTGGAGTTTGGGGGTCGGCCCGGACTCTATTTCAATCAATCCCATATGTTATGTTATGTTATTCACTTTACGCGTTCCTCACTTTCCGCGGCACCCTGTGGGTTACATTAACCGCGTAAAGTGAGGGTTGACTGTAGTCATTTTAAGGACAGATGCAGACAAGAGAGGAAATGATACCCTTCCCACTGCAGTAAATAGGGCTATATACAGGTTGAAAATCCCTTATCCGAAATCCTTGGGGCCAGAGGCATTTCGGATTTTGGAATTTTTCGGTTTTCAGACTTTTTTTTTTTTTTTTAAGCCCACCCGGGCATAGATCACTGATCCACATAGGGGCCTGGGGGGGCGAAAATATAATAATAATAATAATAATAATAATAATAATAATAATAATAATAATAATAATAATAATAATAATAATAATTATTCATAGGTCTACGTCGCATTTCTCACTTTAGATCTTTTTTTTTTCATTCTTGTATTTCTTTATTGTTATTATTATTTTATTACAGTATTATTGTTATTATTATTATTATTAATTTTATTATTACTATTATTATTATTGTTATCATTATTTTATTTTGGTGTACAGTATTTTAATTAAAAATTTTATTTACTATGAATAATTATTATTATTATAATTATTATTACTATTACATTTTCGCCCACCAGGCCCCGATGTGAGTCAATGATTTATGCCCGGGTGGGCTAATCCCTGAAAAAAAAAAAAAAAAAAAAAAAAAAAAATGGCCCACAAAAAAACTTAAGGTTTTTAGAGCTTTTCGGTTTTCGGAATTTCGGATAAAGGGTTGTCAACCTGTACCTGTAATGGCATTGTATGGAAAAGAAAGTATACTTCTGCACATCATGTTTGGTGTTATTACTTAGTTATAATAGAAGAATAAATTTTATTTCTAGAAAGTGCTCGCAATTTCTAACACATTTTTTTGAACAGGGCTCACACATGTTTCAACCGTCTTGATCTCCCGCCTTATCCTTCTCCGGAGATGTTATATGACAAGCTGCTCTTGGCTGTGGAAGAAACATCAACATTTGGCATAGAGTAACCTTGTCATTCCCATGTCATGCATTGATATTTAAATGATGTGTTCATGAAGCTAATAGTCATTCATGAAGTAAATTGCAAGAAACTTATTTTTTCCCTGAAATATGGTGGGTTGTTAATAGTGTTAACACATATGACTGTTATCAGGTATTTGGAGCCTCAATAACAATTTTGAAATGGGTCTCTCATACTTGTGAAATATTGTAACCTATCATTATTTTTCATATTGTACATTATAAAATGATCCATGCTTAAACCTTCCCATCTTATTTAGTCACCACATTTACTTTACATTCTTGAAGTCATACATCTTGCCAGTGCAGTATATATTCAGTCTTGTATATCCATATTACAGCTCATCAAATAAGGATATTATTCATATTTTTTCTTTACTCAAAGTTCAATAGTCTCATGGATTTATTCAAGTGTGTTTTTTGACAAGCAGCCTCGGGCATTTTTTTTTCTTCCATGTACATTATAACAGGCTGTGTGTGTGATCAACATTCATAGCTCATATAATTTTTCTATTTTAATAAGTCTTTGTTACCTTTGCTCCATCATGTGATATTCTGATCTTCAGTATGTCCAAAAGTTAGTCAATATTTATACAGTACAGTGTAATTTTTTAAGTTACAAAGAAAGGTCTTACTCTATTTTCCTATAAATGCTTTAACCTTTTATTTTCCTACACTCAATGTTTTATTTTTCTGCACAAATTTTACATTTTTTATAATGAATAGCGATGTTTTCCAGCTCTTCATTCATTGTCATTTAAGATACAGCCATGGATCAAAGAAATGGCTCATATAAATATTAGGCATTACACAGGCCAGTTTTGAAAGTATTGATATTGCACTTAGTAACTAAGATGATACTTATCTAATATGAATACATGGCATTGCCTGGAAGAGCCAATTTTATGTAAGTGATAATAGTATTGTAATTTGTAAATAGTTCAAAATGAGGGATTTGAGCTCACATTCTTTTTGGTAGTTTAATTTAGGAAAGCTTTCTTGAATTACTGATTAGAGTAGATGGCAACTAGAAAGGGTTCATATATTTCCATTATATATATATATATATATATATGCATGTACATATTGTATGTGTTTGTAAGAGGTGAATGATGATTATGGCAAGCAGTGAGACACAATAGGTCACCATATGCACTGTGACACTCAGCAATAACAATAAACTGTCCAACAAATGTTGGAATTAACTTCATAGTAGCTTTTGGCTAATGTTTAAAGTGACTTTTTCTGTCATAGCAGTTCATTCATAAAATGTGCACAATATAGTCAGTTCATTATATACTTTGTTTAAATAAATATAGTTTGAAAAAGATATATTTTGCCATTTTCTACCGATTTTAACATATAGTATGTTTCAGCTAACACTGAAATTGACATCTGTAAAACCGAATTCACACACACACATACACACAAAATGCAATCATAGCAGTAATTAACAGTTACTGTGTCATTAATTTTTAATGTAGAACAAATCTAAGAAATAGAAATCCTGTGAAGGGTTTTGTTGATGTATTGCTTGCATCAGGCACCTTATCATTGTCAAAAGGCCCTTTACACGATATACTGTCATTCAGTCAGTACTTCGTGAAGTTCAAGGTTTGTTTATACCATTAAGTGTATACCTCTTATGTGGCGCATATCTTCCAGTACAGTTTATGTAATGTTAATTTGTGTTAAACTTTGATAACCATATATGTCTTTCTGTAATATAATGTATGCCAAGTACAGTACTCAAAGTGTTTTTAGCATTTTGCTTTATTAGTGTGATATCAATCTGCAGTTTTAGTTTTACATTTTTTTATTTATACGTATAAGTATTCAAGTATTTACTTCCATCAGCAGTAAGATTTTTACTTTTGAATGTGATACATATTGTATATACACAGTTATTTAGTATTACTCTTACACAGAACTCTAATTGTTTTCATTATACTTTATGTATGGTGTGATAGTAGTAACCACATAAATTGTTCATGTGAACTTTTCATTTACATGGTGTGTTGGTCTACATGTACCTGCTTTTTGTTCCAGGTTAGACAAACCCTTATTATTACTGTTATTATTTATTTCATTATGCTTCCATGTTGGTGTATTAATGGGAAACAATTTGTAAAATTTACTTTAGGTTTCTAAGGTTCCATTTTTTTTTTTTTATAAAGTAAAGAGTCCATTCATCTTTATTGTTAGCATTGACAGTATATTTTTTTCTTTAGGTTTGATTTGAAGGTGCATGAATACTTTATATTTTTAAGCTCCAACAATGGAGAAAATTATGTATGGCAGTGTTTGTGTGACAGATAATTATTATGCATGAACAGTATTCACAACAAATATATTGTTGTAAAATTAATCCTCAAAAAACTAAAGATCTCTTGTATACACTTTCATACACAAGGCCATGACGTGACCACTGTTATGATTTATTTATTTATTTTTTTTTTATGAAACTTTCCAGGTATTACCAAAGAATTTTACATGTTTGCCCTGGATAAATATATTATAACAAAGAGTTTGTTTGGCTTGCTAGTACAATTTATATAATTAATAATAACAGCAGACAAGTGTTATTACTCATGGTTAAGATACAGAGATCAATTTATATGCTTGTATCTGTAAAGAGATCTCTCGGAGCTATAGAAGCAAATGGTCAGGTTTATGAAGATTAGCTGTATCCAATATTATTCATAGGATTAACCTTCCCAGAGAACAGCACCATAGTTATCCTTTTATCACATGACTGGATGCTTCAACTCTATAAGAAATGGACTTCAGTTATCTTTTATCACGTGACTGGATGCTTCAGTTCTAAAAGAAAGGGACTCCAACAGAATCCAGTGTTGATACTGACAATACCTCAACTTCCTTTGGTCCAGTAGTGTAACTGGATCAAACTTCAATTGTCAGTGTCCATCCTTCATTAGTCTTTGCTATTACCAAGACAGCCAGAAAGGTTTGCGATTGCTCCATATTGTTCTGCTTAGTTTCAACAGAAAATATAGGGATTCAGATCAATTTATTTTTCCTTTATAATATTTTATAATTTTTTGTTTTGTTTTTCCTATAGCCAGCAGCCACATAATTACTTGACATTAGGCAAATCATCTTAGGCTGAAGTTTTGTAGTTTTAGTAACAAGTGGTTGTTTGGGTTGGTTTGTAGTCATTCTATAAACTTACCAAATCACTGAACTAGTTCCCTATAGTGTGAGAGATCCTGGGACACAAAGCCTGCACCACCCATCAACCTCAAGAAAGGTGTCTGGTGCTTCCTTTAAATGGTATAATTTTGTAAATTCTTCAAAGGTGCCAAAGCTTTCATAGTTAATTATGGGACATGAGTTGAGAATTTTCTTAGGGTTTTTACCCAAATCTCTCCCAGAGATCTGAGTTACATCCCAGTTGTCAGTGTGTTGTAACATTTGATTTTGTCTCCGTCAAAGCGACTAGGTATCACAGCACCTAGGAGAAGATAAGAGACAATATACAGTATGTAAATATTCAGTGAGCTAAAGACTAAATTTATTTACAGTACCGGTATCTATTTTAGCTCCATTTTAAATTAAGAAATGTAAATCATTTATAATCTTTCCAAGTTGTTCATATCAATTGGGTATTCACACATTATACATAGTGTTTATCACTAATGGAGAGCCTGAATAAAAATACCTGTAGTATTTCAGTTGCCGCTAAGCTGAGCTGCTGTTTCGCCATGTGCACTACCTCCTCATAATGTTCACCCTAAACGACACCTTTACGTGAATTTGTGGTGTTTATACTTGAGTCTACTCTATAAATAGTTCGTTATTATCTGTTGCTTTATATGTTTGGTTTCATTTGTCTTGATATACAGTACATAATAATTAGTGAAAAGAGAAGGATTTACTTCAAATCTGAAAGCATGAAATTTTTTGTGACTGACAGTAATGGCTGGAATTTTGATCTGTTTTTCCTGTTGGTGTGAACTGTGCCTCAGGAACCAGTGTTATGATCATGAGGGTACTGACTGAACAGAGGATGAGTGCACCAACTGTCCTTGTACAAAATATGTCCTGTGTTAATGTCAGGTTCCATCATTGTCTTTACCACAATGCCAGACACACCAGTTATCATTGCTTTTAAAATTTGTCATCGCACCAGTGTACAGTTGTACCCCACTTAACGCGGTCAATAGAACCCAGAGGGTCCCGTGTTAAGTGAAATCCGTGTTAAGTGAACAACAGAACATATGGGATTAATTCCAATAGAAACCGGCCCGACCCCCAAACTCCACTTTTTGAAGACACATAACTATGTTGTAGTAAAAATAACATCTTAATTTTATGATGGTACATGCACACAATTAATACTTAAGAGAAATAGAGAAATACAGTCGCCAAGTTAATGTCCATTCAAATAATGGACTCAACTCCCTCCCCCTCTCACACTACACTGCCGGCTCTTCCCTCTCTGAGAAATTTTTGGGGGAAAACCACTAAATTTTAATAAATACTACCTCAAACTAAAGTTAGGATAATACAATTGACATTGCTGGATTCCTTGTAAGACCAGGAATATTTTGAATATAAATGTCATATATTTTGCACAAAAGATAACATAGTTACTCAGAAAATTTTTTTATCTAAAATTTGTATGTCTAATGCAAAATATATGATGTTTATATTCAAAATGATCACCAAATTATAAGAATTCCAGCAATGTAAATTATATTCTGGCCGGGTAATTTGTATGAATTTTATGAGCTAAAACAGGCAGTCAGGCAGGGTGGCGGGTGGGGCAAATCTAAAAATAGCGTCTCGAGCCGGACACTCACCGCGTATATGATGAAAAAATCCGTGTTAAGTGAAAGTTCAGCTCTGGCGAGGCACCACGTATATGATAAAACGCGCTAAGTGAAACCGCGTTAGGCGGGGTAATACTGTACACGATCATATCCTCATGCCAGTCTCGCAATCACACAGGATGAAAATTTTATGCCAAATCGGTGCATTTTTAGAGGGAATGTATTGCTTGAATGAGAGAGCTTTTGAAAAGCACTAAGGATTCGTTGAGAACAGACAACACAGCAGGAGGTGGTTAAGGTGATACAAGACATGGTTGTAATAATGTACAATGTGGTTGTGCATAAGTAGGTTGTAAGCCGTGCATAGGTGGTGAGCTAGGTTGTGGCAAGGTAGATGTAGGTTATAATTTCTGCACTTGAGAAGCAAAACTTAATATGTTAGATCGTCTGGTGAAAAGAATATTATAAAGAAATAAAAAAAATAATAAAGAAGTTTAGCGACATAAACTCTGCCTCGACCAGTGGCGTCACATAGCACGGTGGAGAATGTCACTGAAAGTTTTTAATGTTTTCTTTTTTTATAATATTTATGTTATCTGCATTTCACAAGCTAATTTTTGTTTTCCAAGTGTGTTAGTTATCACAGATCAACACAGAAGAGTTATAATCAACATACTAAAGAACCGTAGTGACTCTTCGGGTGTCCGTCAGCCAACCAATAAGCTGCATTGCTACAGACTAACCCTAGGCTTCATTTGCAAGGTTCGAGTGAACAGACTAAAGGTGTTACTAATCCTAAGTTCTATTTCTTAGTGACTTTGGGTACATCTAATTAGTTTCCTCTACCTCCTGGTTTGGTCTTATTTTTTTATTTCTGAAACCATTTGCCTGGCAGCTGGTCTTAAATGGGAGCTTTATCCTGAAAATCCCTTTTATGACCAGTAGCAAGGAAAAGGAGTAAAATCCTGTCATCCTTCATGGTTTACAGAATAGCAGGAGCCAGACTGACAAAAACTGCATAATGAAAATGGGGTTTACATCTAATTACCTTCTCTGACCAAGGAGGGACTGTAATGATCTCAATCTTTAATCTTGCATAAACAACACTCATTCTTCAAAATCCATACCTTTTAGTACTGAGGCATCCATTATCAATCAGGATAAAGTGAAGGAACTTGGATATAGCAACGCTGCATAAAGTAGATCCATACACTTGATTTTGGTCATAAAAGGGATTTCAGCATCAATCCCACTTTTTTTTATGTGCATGTACCTTATTTTCAATCTCCACAAGAACATATAAATGTACTGCTGGTCCTCATGCCTAACCAAATTGATCACAAGTGTTCTATATCTCACTCATAAGATAGTATTATATTTTGTAGGAGACAAGTGGCACAGACCTCTTCAGAAAAATTTAATATTCTAACAGTTTTGTGCCATAGTAGTGGTAGAGGGGTATTAATGGGACTTAAAACCCACAAGAGGTGGGTTGAACCTCATGGTTAGGCAGGGTTGGCTAAAAAAATTTCATTATACAGTACCATAATGCACAGAGCCACCCACTTTCAAGACCCAAACTAGCAAGCCCTGCTTAAGAATAAGAGGTGTTATTTATCTGTAATTTATTTATTTATGAAGTTTTGCTACTCAATGGAGGATAAATGATAAAAAAAAAAGATAAAATGAAAGTGAAATGGAATGATCAGGAATAAATGAGCAATCCAAAATATCTATTAATATCCTGTGTAATATATTTGTGTTTAAGTTCATCAACACACACCTCACCTCCATACACACCTCTCCTCCATACCCACACCCCTCCTTCCGACCCACACCTCTTCTCTGTGCCCTCTATACCCACACCTCTTCTTTGTGCTTTCCATACCCACAACACTCCTCCATGCCCACACCTCTCCTCCATACCCACACCACTCCTCCATACCCACACCCCTCCTTCCGACCCACACCTCTCCTCCGTGCCCTCTATACCCACACCTCTCCTTTGTGCTTTCCATACCCACACCACCTCCATACCCACACCACTCCTCCATGCCCACACCTCTCCTCCATACCCACACCCCTCCCAACCCACACCTCTCCTCCGTGCCTCCATACCCACACCCTCCACGACCCACACCTCTCCTCCATACCCACACCCCTCCTCCTGACCCACACCTCTCCTCCGTGCCCTCCATACCCACACCCCTACTCCCGACCCACACCTTTCCTCCCAACCCACATCTCTCCTCTGTGCCCTCCATACCCACACCTCTTCTCTGTGCCCTCCATACCCACACCCCTCCTCACTGACCCACACCTCTCCTCCATGCCCTCCATACCCGCCACTCCTCACCGACCCACACCTCTCCTCCGTGCCCTCCATACCCACACCACTCCTCCTGACCCACACCTCTCCTCTGTGCCCTCCATACCCACACCCCTCCTCCCGACCTACACCTCTCATCTTGCTTCCATACCCACACCCCTCCTCCATACCCACACCACACATCCCGACTCAGGGGTGGTGGCGCCCTGAGAGCCCTGCCAGGGGGGCAACGCCCCCAGGAGCCCTCCTTAGGGGTGGCAGCGATGCCAGGGGCCCTCCCAGGGGCGGCAACGCCCCCAGCATCCCTCTCAGGGGCCGCAGCGCCTCCAAGGACCCTCCCAGGTGCAGTTGAGCCCCCAGGGGCGGTGGCACACCCAAGGGCCCTTCTAGGGGCGGTAGTGCCTCCAGGTGCCCTCCCAGGGATGCCCCCTAACAGGAGTCCTATAGCTTGCTTTGTATTGGTGTCGTACATATTGCATACTTCCAGCAATCCCTTACCAAACTGTGATTGTTCGACTAGAATGTAAATCCAACAAATTTCAGCCAATAGGAGAATACAGCAGTCAGTCAGCACAACACCCCAACTTATGTTTTCCTCTTGGATATTTATTCTCCTTTTTATTATTGTTCAGTCTGTGATGATACTGGAAATGCGATGGGCGGTGTATTGAACGTCATATCTCCCAGAGTTCTAAATAGTGCAAAAACTGCCCCCAGGGGACTTCCCAGGGGCAGTGGCATGCCCAGAGGCCCTCCTTAGGAGCAGCAGCCCACCAGGGACCATCTCTCAAGTGGTGACGCCCTTAAGGGCCCTCCCACGGGCGGCGGGCCCCTAAGGACCCATCCAGGGGTTATGGCACAGCCATGGGCCCTAGCAGGGGCCCACTTTAGGGGTGACAGCGCCCCCAAATGACCACCCATGGGCCGTGGGGCCTCCAAAGGCCCTCCCAAGGGAGGCTGCGACCCTAGGGACCCTGCCAGGGGCGGCGGCGCCCACAGGGGCACTCCCAGGATTTGTGGGACCCTCCAAGGATTATTGCTTGTTCAAAGGGCTTTTAGAAAATTTTATTTACTTTTGCAATGCTAATTACTCGCCACTTATGGGTTTTCAAGGTCATTTCTTGGTGCGTGTGATTTATTCTGGATGTACTTAAATAGTTAGGTACATTAAATTTTAGTTCTGAGAAAAAAAGTATTTTTGGCCAAAAATCCTGTTAGGGGTAAGCCTTACAATTATTGGCATTTCGTCCAAAAAATAGATTTTGTTCAAAATTATTACCTAATTTTACGAAGTACATTTTCATAGAAAATGGGAAATTTGTTTCATGGAAAATGGGAAATATCTACTTTCCGGGAAAGTTGGTTATCTACTTTCCCGAAAAGTAGATTATCTACTTTTCGGAAAAGTAGATTATCGACTTTTCAGGGAAGTAGATTATCGACTTTTGGGGGAAATGTTCCCTAATTTTCCGAAGTAGATTATCATAGAAAACGGGAAATTTGTATCACAGAAAATGGGAAATATCTACTTTCCGGGAAAGTTGGTTACCTACTTTCCCGAAAAGTAGATTATCTACTTTTCGGGAAAGTAGATTTCTGTGATACAAATTTCCTGATTTATATGATAATCTACTTCGGAAAATTAGGTAATATTTCCCAAAAAGTCGATAATCTACTTCCCCTAAAAATCGATAATCCACTTTCCCGAAAAGTAGATAATCTACTTTTCGGGAAAGTAGATAACCAACTTTCCCGGAAAGTAGATATTTCCCATTTTCTGTGATACAAATCTCCCGTTTTCTATGATAAGTAGATAACCAACTTTCCCAGAAAGTAGATATTTCTCATTTTCTGTGATACAAATTTCCCGTTTTCTATGATAATCTACTTCGGAAAATTAGGTAACATTTCCCCCAAAAGTCGATAATCTACTTCCCTGAAAAGTCGATAATCTACTTTTCCGAAAAGTAGATAATCTACTTTTTGGGAAAGTAGATAACCAACTTTCCCGGAAAGTAGATATTTCCCATTTTCTATGATACAAATTTCCCGTTTTCTATGATAATCTACTTCGGAAAATTAGGTAATATTTCCCAAAAAGTCGATAATCTACTTCCCCTAAAAGTCGATAATCTACTTTCCCAAAAAGTAGATAATCTACATTTTGGGAAAGTAGATAACCAACTTTCCCAGACAGATATTTCCCATTTTCTGTGATACAAATTTCCCGTTTTCTATGATAATCTACTTCGGAAAATTAGGTAATATTTCCCAAAAAGTCGATAATCTACTTCCCCGAAAAGTCGATAATCTACTTTTCCGAAAAGTAGATAATCTACTTTTCGGGAAAGTAGATAACCAACTTTCCCGGAAAGTAGATATTTCCCAATTTCTTTGATACAAATTTCCCGTTTTCTATGATAAGTAGATAACCAACTTTCCCAGAAAGTAGATATTTCTCATTTTCTGTGATACAAATTTCCCGTTTTCTATGATAATCTACTTCGGAAAATTAGGTAATATTTCCCCCAAAAGTCGATAATCTACTTCCCTGAAAAGTCGATAATCTACTTTTCCGAAAAGTAGATAATCTACTTTTCGGGAAAGTAGATAACCAACTTTCCCGGAAAGTAGATATTTCCCATTTTCTATGATACAAATTTCCCGTTTTCTATGATAATCTACTTCGGAAAATTAGGTAATATTTCCCAAAAAGTCGATAATCTACTTCCCCTAAAAGTCGATAATCTACTTTCCCAAAAAGTAGATAATCTACTTTTTGGGAAAGTAGATAACCAACTTTCCCAGACAGATATTTCCCATTTTCTGTGATACAAATTTCCCGTTTTCTATGATAATCTACTTCGGAAACTTAGGTAATATTTCCCAAAAAGTCGATAATCTACTTCCCCGAAAAGTCGATAATCTACTTTTCCGAAAAGTAGATAATCTACTTTTCGGGAAAGTAGATAACCAACTTTCCCGGAAAGTAGATATTTCCCAATTTCTTTGATACAAATTTCCCGTTTTCTATGATAATCTACTTCGGAAAATTAGGTAATATTTCCCAAAAAGTCGATAATCTACTTCCCCGAAAAGTCGATAATCTACTTTTCCGAAAAGTAGATAATCTACTTTTCGGGAAAGTAGATAACCAACTTTCCCGGAAAGTAGATATTTCCCAATTTCTTTGATACAAATTTCCCGTTTTCTATGATAATCTACTTCGGAAAATTAGGTAATATTTCCCAAAAAGTCGATAATCTACTTCCCCTAAAAGTCGATAATCTACTTTCCCAAAAAGTAGATAATCTACTTTTTGGGAAAGTAGATAACCAACTTTCCCAGACAGATATTTCCCATTTTCTGTGATACAAATTTCCCGTTTTCTATGATAATCTACTTCGGAAACTTAGGTAATATTTCCCAAAAAGTCGATAATCTACTTCCCCGAAAAGTCGATAATCTACTTTTCCGAAAAGTAGATAATCTACTTTTCGGGAAAGTAGATAACCAACTTTCCCGGAAAGTAGATATTTCCCAATTTTCTTTGATACAAATTTCCCGTTTTCTATGATAATCTACTTCGGAAAATTAGGTAATATTTCCCAAAAAGTCGATAATCTACTTCCCCGAAAAGTCGATAATCTACTTTTCCGAAAAGTAGATAATCTACTTTTCGGGAAAGTAGATAACCAACTTTCCCGGAAAGTAGATATTTCCCAATTTCTTTGATACAAATTTCCCGTTTTCTATGATAAGTAGATCAACCAACTTTCCCAGAAAGTAGATATTTCTCATTTTCTGTGATACAAATTTCCCATTTTCTATGATAATCTACTTCGGAAAATTAGGTAACATTTCCCCCAAAAGTCGATACTCTACTTCCCTGAAAAGTCGATAATCTACTTTTCCGAAAAGTAGATAATCTACTTTTTGGGAAAGTAGATAACCAACTTTCCCGGAAAGTAGATATTTCCCATTTTCAATGATACAAATTTCCCGTTTTCTATGATAATCTACTTCGGAAAATTAGGTAATATTTCCCAAAAAGTCGATAATCTACTTCCCCTAAAAGTCGATAATCTACTTTCCCGAAAAGTAGATAATCTACTTTTTGGGAAAGTAGATAACCAACTTTCCCAGACAGTAGATATTTCCCATTTTCTGTGATACAAATCTCCCGTTTTCTATGATAAGTAGATAACCAACTTTCCCAGAAAGTAGATATTTCTCATTTTCTGTGATACAAATTTCCCGTTTTCTATGATAATCTACTTCGGAAAATTAGGTAATATTTCCCCCAAAAGTCGATAATCTACTTCCCTGAAAAGTCGATAATCTACTTTTCCGAAAAGTAGATAATCTACTTTTTGGGAAAGTAGATAACCAACTTTCCCGGAAAGTAGATATTTCCCATTTTCTATAATACAAATTTCCCGTTTTCTATGATAATCTACTTCGGAAAATTAGGTAATATTTCCCAAAAAGTCGATAATCTACTTCCCCTAAAAGTCGATAATCTACTTTCCCAAAAAGTAGATAATCTACTTTTTGGGAAAGTAGATAACCAACTTTCCCAGACAGATATTTCCCATTTTCTGTGATACAAATTTCCCGTTTTCTATGATAATCTACTTCGGAAAATTAGGTAATATTTCCCAAAAAGTCGATAATCTACTTCCCCGAAAAGTCGATAATCTACTTTTCCGAAAAGTAGATAATCTACTTTTCGGGAAAGTAGATAACCAACTTTCCCGGAAAGTAGATATTTCCCAATTTCTTTGATACAAATTTCCCGTTTTCTATGATAAGTAGATAACCAACTTTCCCAGAAAGTAGATATTTCTCATTTTCTGTGATACAAATTTCCCGTTTTCTATGATAATCTACTTCGGAAAATTAGGTAACATTTCCCCCAAAAGTCGATAATCTACTTCCCTGAAAAGTCGATAATCTACTTTTCCGAAAAGTAGATAATCTACTTTTTGGGAAAGTAGATAACCAACTTTCCCGGAAAGTAGATATTTCCCATTTTCTATGATACAAATTTCCCGTTTTCTATGATAATCTACTTCGGAAAATTAGGTAATATTTCCCAAAAAGTCGATAATCTACTTCCCCTAAAAGTCGATAATCTACTTTCCCGAAAAGTAGATAATCTACTTTTTGGGAAAGTAGATAACCAACTTTCCAGACAGTAGATATTTCCCATTTTCTGTGATACAAATTTCCCGTTTTCTATGATAATCTACTTCGGAAAATTAGGTAATATTTCCCAAAAAGTCGATAATCTACTTCCCCGAAAAGTCGATAATCTACTTTTCCGAAAAGTAGATAATCTACTTTTCGGGAAAGTAGATAACCAACTTTCCCGGAAAGTAGATATTTCCCAATTTCTTTGATACAAATTTCCCGTTTTCTATGATAAGTAGATAACCAACTTTCCCAGAAAGTAGATATTTCTCATTTTCTGTGATACAAATTTCCCATTTTCTATGATAATCTACTTCGGAAAATTAGGTAACATTTCCCCCAAAAGTCGATACTCTACTTCCCTGAAAAGTCGATAATCTACTTTTCCGAAAAGTAGATAATCTACTTTTTGGGAAAGTAGATAACCAACTTTCCCGGAAAGTAGATATTTCCCATTTTCTATGATACAAATTTCCCGTTTTCTATGATAATCTACTTCGGAAAATTAGGTAATATTTCCCAAAAAGTCGATAATCTACTTCCCCTAAAAGTCGATAATCTACTTTCCCGAAAAGTAGATAATCTACTTTTTGGGAAAGTAGATAACCAACTTTCCCAGACAGTAGATATTTCCCATTTT